TGTGTGTGTGTGTGTAAGTGTGCAGAGGGATACTTAAAAATTGTGATCTTTATGACTGTGATCAGAAAACTCTAGTCTAATGAAAAAGTTATAGTAAGAATCTTACCCTGTCTATATCATCAAGCACATTCATAAAAAAACTTATATGAACTTTCTTACTTTACTCAAAGCAAGCACTAATGCACCGTAAATAAAAATCAAGAGACACAATTAATCCATCCTTACTGTCAGACAGACTGTCATGAATGAATGTCTAAACCACCAGGCAGCAGTTTTGCCCCTGAGAGTGAGTACAGATACAGTACATCAAGGTATAGAAACTAAATGGAAGAGGTGGAGAGGGTGAGTTGCAGAAGCCACTGAATTTCCTTGTCTCAGGAATCCTCCAGGAATCCTCTTTGTGTCAGAATTATAATACCCCGAGTACGGACAATTCAGTCTTTCCAAGGGGTTTTCTTTTACCCCCTTCTGAGCTGAATAAAAAGAGCATATGGGAAAACACACCTATATATATGTTACATATATATGTATATTTGAATATATCTGCACTCTTGGAATAGTTTGTCATTGTTCATTTGCTAAGTCCTGTATCTCCTAACATTTCCTCTCAATAGTGGTTTTTCAGTTCGTCAAATCCTCAAAAATTCTATTGCTTTTAGGAAGCCTTATTGAGCTAATTGGAAAACAGAGTAACATCCCTCTCTCTTTTATCTTAAGAACATGTCACTTTGGCTGGGTGCTGTGGCTCATGCCTGTAATCTCAGCACTTTGAAAGGGCAAGGTGGGCATATCACTTGATTCCATGAGTTTGAGACCAGCCTGGCCAACATCACGAAACCCCATCTCTACTAAAAATACAAAAATTAGGCAGGTGTGGTGGCATACACCTGTAATCCCAGCTATTTGGGAGGCTGAGGCACAAGAATTGCCTAGACCAGGAGGCAGAGGTTGTATTGAGCCAGATCCTGCCACTGTACTGTAGCTTGTGTGACGGAGCAAGACTCTGTCTCAGAAAAAAAAAAAAAAAAGAGCATGTCACTTTGCATGTAACTCTTCACTTTCCATGATATGTGCTTTTTAAAGTGTCCACCTTTCATTTTGTCATTAATAGACACTCTCATCTTATTCTACCTTACATCAGCTACTTCAGAGAATAGGGACCATCTGTTTATTCACTTCTTAGGTATTTTGAATAGTGTCGTATACAAAATGATGCTTTAAAAATACATGTAATGATCATTCTATTTGAAATAGAAAAGAGTCCCCATTCTCTCTCAATATTACAAATTTTATTTCCTCAAAATGCCATTCTTTATATTTTTCTAAATAGGATTTTATGGTGCCCATATATTTCTAAATGAGAGTTTTCTTCTAGACACTTGTACAAATGTGAACAGTAGAAATGAATCCTTTGTTCTTTTCCCTTTTATCTGCTTCCCTAGGAGATCTCTATTTTGCTCCCCTCATTGGAAGGCCAAAATAGCAATGCCTTTGAGTGTTTCTCCCCTAGGAGCTTTTTCCTTTTCTTTTTGTGAAAGTCTAGAGAGACAAATATCCTCATAATGACTTGGCCACCTGAGCAGTCTCTGTCAGTGCTTCCATGGCCTTCTCCTTCTCAAAGGCAGACCCCATTACATTGCCCAGATCCAAGGGGGCCCTTCTGCTGGGATTTGGAATGCTCCTGGACACAGTTTTGGGGCCCGCAGACTTACATCCTTAGTTAGATACATGTTTTCACTTGGGGGCAGGACTTTGGTATTCTGTGTAGCAACTAAAATGCATCTCCCGACACACACCCTACCCACCCTCCACTTCCTCTTTTTGTCCCTACTTCTGTACCACACCTCCCATCTCCAGGTCTCGCTACCCTAAATCCCTGAGGTTCTATGCCTATGCCCCAGCATGCTATCAGACCTTTTCTAATACTGTTTCTCTCATCAGACTCTTCCTATCCTGCCTTATAATCTAGAGCTGAAAAACAAACCTGGGATAATGTGGTTATGGGTCCATGCGGTGTTCTGTTTGGGTATCATAGTTGCATTTTTTACAAAGGTTTTTCTGAAAATAGAATATTGGTGGAATTTTTGGTAATCTGACAGTATGTATGGAAGTTTTGATCAGGAATGTGCTTTTGATCTTTGTTTTATATTTCATAGATTCCACTAATATTTTTCTGTGACCCTCAAATGATCCTGTGTAGATGAATACCTGCTTATCCCATACTTAGGGCTTAGAACCTATGTATTCATAAACCAATAAATTTTTCTCCTTAACAGTTGGAGTAAGAGAAAGAAAGCCTTATTCATTTAAATAAATAACTAGTTTGGTTTAAAAATAAGGGAGCAATTGATTTTGCTTGATTCTTTTACTGAAATACAATAATGAACATTTATGCAGTACTTATTATAAACCATGAACATTACTAGTATTATTTTATTCATCACTCAAAGCAACCTTATCAAGTTGATAATATTATTATGCCCATATTATGAATAAGGGAAACAAAACTATTTAAGTTAGTCAGTACGTTTACATAGCTAGGAGTAATGAAGTTAGTTTTTGATATAGGTAATCTGTCAAACCATTGTGCTCAGAGTAATCAAGCCAGTTAAAATAGGAACATAAAATCTTTCCTTAGTTTGCAGATGAACATTAGCTTTGAAAACAAGCACTAACCAAGAGGAATCTGACTTTCTTCTAGAGACTGCTATAGAATGCCAGTTTCTTTATGTTTACTGCATGTATACATGCATTGGCTGAACTGTTAGAGGCTCTCAAACACTATTTGTTGGCTGTACACTTTGGTTTTCATTCTCATGTTCAAATGGAACCATTTGGTTAGTCTGCCTTATTTCTAAAGTTACTTAATTCCACAGATTTCTTAATTTCTCTGGGAAATACCAGGAAATGGGTATAGAAAGAATAATAATAATTGTCTGCCTCCAAGGACTTCACCATTAAGCAGATGAAAGAGAGAAAGGTAATTAGAACACATTGGTGCTTTTTAAAGACCTGTGTATTTTCCTCTCTTTGTAATAGGTACCATTTCTGTCAACACATTGCGTACTCCCTACACTGCTCCTGGTGAGAGTGAGATTCTGGACCTGGATGATGAGTTGTACCTGGGGGGCCTGCCAGAAAATAAAGCTGGCCTTGTCTTCCCTACTGAGGTGTGGACTGCTCTGCTCAACTATGGCTACGTGGGCTGCATCAGGGATTTGTTCATCGATGGCCAAAGCAAAGATATACGGCAAATGGCTGAAGTTCAAAGCACTGCTGGAGTGAAGCCCTCTTGCTCAAGGGAAACAGCAAAACCGTGCCTTAGCAACCCTTGCAAAAACAATGGCATGTGCAGGGATGGGTGGAACAGATATGTCTGTGATTGTTCCGGAACAGGCTATCTTGGCAGGTCCTGTGAGAGAGGTAAGATTCTAAAACCCTGACAGCTAACTCCCTGAGATGAAAAGTATATTAACTGTTGACCTCAAACCTGAACTGACCATTGAAACATAACGTATACTCGACTGAAGTAAATTCTGTTTGTTTAAGCTGAGCAGCCATACCTCACATGGATTACTAATGAGCACTTAATGTTTTTCAAAGAGCGTGGTTCTGAAAGGACACCACTCTTAAGTATAATGCAGGAATAGAAATTTGAATCTTTAGTATCCTCTAGAGTATGAGCCTAAGATGTATTACAGATAATAACTGCTGTCTCTTTTGCCCAGTTTTTCACTTCAGAACACTAGACAGGAAAAGAGGCATGAATTAGACATACCTATGGCTTCTAGTGCTGATACCCATGCTAAGAAATAGCAGTTGAGGCAAGCTAAGCTGTGAGCTGCAATGTCCCTGATACAACCGGGTGAGACTTAAGTTAGCCTGCTCATTTCACTTCGGTCAACTTACAAAAGTGACAATATCCTCTCTGAAAAGTAAGCTGACTTTCGGTCACCTAAGGTGCACCAACGTTTTTTGGAAGTGTACCCTAATAGAGAAAGTACTTACCTTTGGCTGGGACCTAACCAATTGCAGAGGATTCATTTACTGATTTGCTATTAAGGCTTAGCTGTGCCTATTGAAGTCCTAAGCAGGTACCACATCTTTTGCTGTAATAGATGGCAAACCTACATTTAGTTTTTCTTTTCCTCTCCCATTAAAAAAAAAAAGGAATGAGGATTCAAAGAAAACTGAAGGATAATAGCTGTCCCAGTTAATCTGCAGAACAGGCTAAAGGAATAAATAGCAGAATAAATAGTTCTGGGCTTATTTTTCCATCGACCCAGTGTTTCAGATAAATGCTTTAGTCATTACACCCATTGTCACTTATTTTCAACAATGGAACTAAAAATCAATATTAAAAAATATTGATGAGTTGTTCCATTGTTCTTACCTGTTACAAATAACATTGCTTTATTACATATTTAGCCTAAAAGTACCTAGCATCTATTTTTAAGCTAAGAATATTTATTGTTTTCCTTTTTTTTATTCCTGAAATAATTTAATTCATTTTGCCTAAAACTTCCTAGGAAAAAAGGGGTTATTTTGTGAAACCCAAAATTGAAATGTGATTTTGGTTATTTATCTTAAAATGGAGGTACATCAACTTATTACTTCTATGATTAATATTAAAAAATATAAATATTTAGTAGTAATATATTAATCATGTATTAAACTGCTTACCAGATGCTATTATTATTGTGTGTCATGCAATTAGATGGGTCAATAGGTGGCTATTTTATCACATAGATATAGATATATTCATTCATTCTCCTTATGATAGGACCTAACTGCAATTTCTGTGAATTGTCAACACAGCTTAGCTATTTCTGTATCATTACTTAGTATGGAGTATATTCTTTATACATTTCCTCTTTGCATTTTGCTTCCCAATTTTAGTTTGTTTGTTTAGTTTTGTTTTTGGAAATTGCCAAAATGATGAAAAAATGTAGCAAAGCTTGCAAGGTACAGTACAGTTAGGCATATATGAGATTAGCGGACTTGCATGATTTAAGGTTTTGTTTTAATTTTATCCCTCAGAGACCTGCCAGTTACTCTGATGTCTCTTAGTTAAGTGAAACTGGAAAACTCAACTGTCACATGAATTACGGAAGCTTTCAGTTAAATATGCGTGGTGTACCACCCTGTGGCAATATTCTGCTACTACATATGGCAAAAATAAAAATAGAAATTGTAGACCTTTCAGAGCCAGCAATCAGAGAGGAAATATTTATGTATTGCAATGATTAGAAAAAGGGACAGCAAGCATATGTAGATTTGTAAATGAGAATTTAATAGCAAACTTTATCATCGGGATTCAGCATACATTTTTATCTGATAGGAGGCTGGAGGTTTCTGTTGATTTCTTTGCTTCCAGGTTGGCTGTGTACTGAGGAAAAATGGTCATTTTGGGGTGGTTCTTATTACTGGACCACCCATTGTATTGTGAGACGTCTGTGCTTTTCAGAATTAATTTTCTTGCTCACGTTAGGGTGCCTCCTGAGAGCAAGGGAAATGTGTGAGGGTTGTCATGCTCAATACCACGAAAGTTGGCTTCTTTCCAGCTCCTAGCTCTTATATCCTAGTTCAGTTAATTCAACATCATGCCTGAAACTCTGAGTTTCCAATTTAAAAGAAGGGGCTTTGAAACTGAGTTTCTTCTCCTGGCACATATTGGTCACATAAGGCTATTGTTGATCAAATAAGAGCTGACAAGTCCTGAAGTTATTTTTTAAAGAGCACTTTTAATTTTCTTATTATTGAGCAAAAATTGATAATTTATAATTTATGAAGATAATTATTCAAAGTAATTAAAAAGCATGTTCAAGTCCTTGGACTTAGAAAGTTCAGCATGGAGAAATTGTGTTACAATCGTATTACAGGAGATCTTTATCCTGCTTAAGGAAGCAAAGGAGTTTATAAGAAAGAACAAAATACTTGCTAACTTAGGCAAATAAGAAGATGGCATTTTGCTTCACATGTATTGATTCTATAAGAAGGAGTTGTACGGAAATAATGTTCAATGAATAAAAGTTAAATTTAGCACCTTCCCTTCTGCTTTATTTTTAATGAAACAGAATTTGTGGAGACTTGATTATATAAAAATCATTCTCAGTTATATGTAAGAATAAGAGCATTGATATAATCAGAGGTCTACTTTATACTGTTTGTTAAAATTCCAACAGATGGAGGGACAGATGTCAGAGCAATATAATTTGGCTGCCTGTCTGATTTTCATCGTTGATCACAATATGTGACTGCCTTTCGGCAGAACTGAGCACAGGTGTACACTTTAGACTGCAACAAAGAATAATGCAGAAGAGCAAATTTATCAAACTTAATGACAAGGGAGAAGGAGATATAGAAGACAAAGTTGAAACTGTTTTTCTCCCCCAGTGGGAAGTATTATACTGGAATTAGCCTTTTAAAGACTTATTGCGTGTTTTAAATGACAAAATAATTTTACTAATGTTCAAGGATGCTGCCAAATAGCATAACCTTCAAATGTCAGAATGTTGTTTACCATTTATTTGGCAACTCTAGACTACAACCCTGAGCATTTTCTATTTCTTGTCTAATTAAACATTAGCTCTAATTATGAGGAATCATTTAAGCTTTCATTTGTCGTTTATCAACAAGTTATTTTCATATTGAGAATTATTTAAAATGACACTTGGGGACACTCAAGTTTTATTGCTTTACTGTGTTATTTCAGTCCTGCAGCTCTTTGGAGAAAGTTAAAGGCTAATTATTCTGATTACTTTTTCTTCTCTGGATTGTATTTCACACTATATTTATGATCCATTGTCAGTCACCTATATTTCTAAAAGGAGACATCCCCATTTAGTTTTCAATCAAATTGAGCTACTTTTCATAGAAGAATATAAGATGATTTCCAAAATACAATTATTCAATAATAGAGCCTAGCTGTACAGATTAACTACAGAGGAGAGAGCGAACACTGTTTTCATCTTCTTATCTGTACAATACTGAAGTAACTGAACACATGATAATGGCTTTTACACTTTTATTCAGGTATTTGTTACTTTATAGATATGAGTCATGATTGGCTAGTTTAGGAAAAGTAAAAGTAAAGATCAAATTTGCTTTAAAATTATACCACAAGCACTTTTCTCTCTAGAATTCACTATAACTTTACACTCAGGTTTTAATTATATCTTCCGCAACAGCAATTTGATTACTTGTACAAGCCTTTGACTGCTGGGATTGTACTCCCATTTGGGAAACTTCTTACCTAATAGGAAAAAATATGATAAGGAACTACTATATTTTTGAAGACCATATTTTATTTTATCACTGCCTAGGGCATTGCCTAACCATGAGGCCTCTATTTTGATAAATAGGCACTTTGCTAGCCTATCTTCTACAGCCCAATTTTGACCTTCAAAGTGGACTTTATTAAATATTTTGTTCATGCACGTCACTGAAATTAGATTTCACTTGCAATAACAGAATAAATACTTAATTTCTTTGGTAAGCATTTACGTAAGCTTGGTATTCAAATTGAAATTAGCTCACTATATATATGTGTGTATATGTGTGTGTGGAATTATTGATTCAATTAATATTTATGGAGGCTCTGATGTGGGCCTGGCATTCTGGGGGCACTTGCTGCTGACAGAGTAATGCATATGAGAGATTGATCCCTGCCCTCAAGATACTTGTATTCTAAAGAGCAAATACAGATACAAACAAGAAATGGTCATTAAAAAAAATGAAATGGTGAGTAGATATTCAATAACTGGCGCGGATAGCAGGCCTCTCTAGAGTAACATTTGAGCAGAGGCCTAAATGCTGAAAGAAGCAGCTATTTAAAGATCTGGGTTGAAACATTTTTAAACAGAGGGATCTGAAAGTGCAGACACTTCAATGAGGGCATGAAATTGGCGTATCTGGAGCTCACTGAACAAGAAGTGGGAGATACTTAAAGCTGAGGCCAGAGAGATGGGCTGGGGCCAGGGTCACACTGATCTTTACAGATTAAAAAAAGTGGAAACACGGTTAAGGGAGCTATGACAATGTTCTAGGTGAGAGATGAGAGCAGAGTCTGAGGCACATTAGTGGCAGAGGTGAGCAACAGTCAATGCAGAATGTGGATTGGAATTAGAGCCTATAAGACTTACAGACTTGCAGATACATTGGACATGGCAGAGAGAGGAAGAGAAATCAGAAAGGTTTAGGTCTGAGCAATGGGACTATCACATTTACTGAGATGGAGAAGACTGAAGAAAGAATGTTTTGAATTTGTTCATTTTCAGAGGGTGTGAATTAGGAGTTTAGTGAGGTGCCTATCATATTCCAATTGAGAATTTTCCATAGGCAATTGATGTTAGATCTCAGGAGAGAAGTCAGAACCCTTAATAAGTATTAGAGGAGTGAGCATATGAATTGACTGAGATCTCTTAAGTCAAGAGGTAGGTGGAAAAGAGAAGGGAGCTAACCTAAGCAGGGAGACCTGTAACCCTTGGTGCTTAGAGAGTTTCTGGATGCTCACTTAATCCCATGAGGGTGACAAATAATGATTAAAGTCTTACAGAAACAGTACTTGACTTTCTGAAAGATAAATTTGCAAAATCACAACTCTGAATATACTCCTAATGCTGAACACTGTTGTACTAGTAAAGTTAATTGTTATGCTGTGTAAGTCGGCAAAAGAATGAGAATTTCCTGGTTCATTTTAATTCCAGGTAGTTTTTCTTTATTAAGTGATATCCTGAGTTATTGGAAGCAATGAGAAAGCAAATAGATTCATGCTTGTTTTGCAATGTTCCACTACCATAATAGTGTTTAACACTAAGGAGTGCTATTTCTTAAAGCCATCAGGTTGTCATCAACAGTGTTTCCATTCACTTATTTGTGTGTTTAAGACAGTACTAAGCAACTTCCCTATTGATGCCATCTACCTTAGTTTTCTAACAAACACCCTCCCAAATTTCCAGTCCCACCCCATGCTTATTCAGTGTAGCAAAGGCACAACATTATTGCTCTGGGTGACAACTTAACATATTCAGGACACCAGGGTTGTGCTTATACATGATATTTAGAGTTACTCCCCTTCTATAAATTAACCTTAAAAGGAAGTAACAGTTTAATCCTTCTTAAAAAATTACCTTGTTAAACATAATGTCTCTAAAGAACCATTATCTGGTGTTTGGTAATATCAGTTTTTCTTTTGAACATCAATTTTGGTAAAGTATTGGCCTAATTCCTATAGTTATGCCATATTTCTTTTTTTTCTTTTAAAAATAATTCTATCAGGGCAGAGATAAGGAAAAAAATGATGATAGTCACTTCTCCTAGAACTACATGCTTTTAGGCATTAGAAGTCTTCTGGCAGTACCCTCTCGTTGTGCAGATGAAGAATTCAGAACCAAGGCAAGGTTGACTAATTCCACAGAACTAGTCAGTGAGCTCACCATACATAAACATGCATTGAAAAGTTGCTGGAGGCTGGGCACAGTGGCTCGTGCCTATAATCCCAGCACTTTGGGAACCTGGTGTGAGAGGGTCACTTGAGCCCAGGAGTTTGAGACCAGCTTGGGCAACAAAGAATACTTATCTCTAGAAAAAAGTCTTAGTAATAACCTAGCCTGGCATGGTGGCATGTGCCTGTGGTTTCAGCTACTCAGGAGGCTGAGGTGGAAAGATTGCTTGAGCCCTGAAGGTCATGGCTGTAGTAAGCTGAGATCCTGCCACTGCACTCCGGCCTAGGGGATGGAGCTAGACCTTGTCTCAAGCAAGCCACAACCATCCAAAAAAAAAAAAAAAGAAAACCAAACCAAACCAACAACAACAACAAAATAGCCCCACAAAAGTTGTTGGTGTTTCAAACTAAGCTCACACTGTGGCTTTACAAAAGAACGTGATCTTTGCTCTTGAGAAGGGGGAAAACATAATCAAACACTCAAATCCAACATGATTAATGCTACAGGTAGACAGTGCTGTAGGAACAACAAAAAAAAGAAACTGCTGATATCTCTGTTTCTGGGCTTTAGCAAATATCTCACAAGAGAAGTCCTCTATTGTGACTTCTCTTTACGGCTTATAATTTTGTTTATTTCTGAAGAAGGTGAATTGATATTATTGTATTGTGTTCTAGAAGTCTTTGATAATAAATGATCCTTTTCCTTTTTAAAATATTAATGCACTAAAACATCCACAAGCTTATTATATTCATTTTCCATCTCTAGAGGCTACGGTTTTGAGCTATGATGGGAGCATGTTTATGAAAATTCAGCTTCCTGTAGTCATGCACACGGAGGCTGAGGATGTGTCCTTACGATTCCGATCCCAGCGTGCATATGGCATTCTGATGGCAACCACTTCTAGAGATTCTGCTGATACCCTCCGCCTGGAGCTAGATGCAGGGCGCGTGAAACTGACGGTCAATCTAGGTAACAACCTGCCTTCCCCCATTGAACTAACACTTTTTACTTTTTGTTCAATTTTGCCTGCAAACATTGATCAAGTAGCCTGTTTGCCATGGAAAGTTAAACACCTAATGGTCTTATTTCCATCATTTGAAGTAATTTAGGTTTGGGGGGGCATCTTTTTATTTTATTTTTTTTTTATGTTTAACATAACTTACCGTTTTGTGATTTCTACCACTGAGGGTTCTTAAAAGAGAAGCCATGTATGTCAGTGAGGTTAATTGAAAATACAAATTATAAAGCCTGATGTTGCCTCCAGCTGAATTTCGGTTGCTATATTCACTGACATTTGGATCAGTTATAGGTGACATCCTTGCAGATAAATAAAAACGTGTTTGCTTAGAAAAGATTGGCACAAAATATCAAATTTCTACTTTGCTATCTAGATGAACAGTTACCTATTTTAATACTTGTTCTTATTCTACTCCATGTGCTTCTCCTTTGAATAGTCACCTTTGTGGTACCCCATCTTTTCTGTTTTGGAGTACTGTGTGGTGGTATTTTGCTATCAAACAGCGATCCACAACCCTTCAATGCCCAAAGTCTGCGGCCCTTAGCAAACAGCCATGAGAACACTAGAGACACAGGCTCTTCTACAGAAAGATAATGCTTTCCTGCTTAATTGTAGCATTAAGAAAGACTCATTACAGTAAAACCTCACCAACCTGGATGAATTATGGGGGGAAACCAGGCTGAATTAGGAAAAAGTCTGAATTGCAGATTTTTTAAATTGTTTAAGCAGTTTTTTAAAAAAATTATACTCAAAAACATAATAGTTTGGAAAGCCTTATCAAGGAAAGGGCTCTCTAGGCTGGTTGGATAAGAATTATTTATAATTAGCACATTTTTTTCATGCAAACTGTGCCACCAATGTAAAGTATTGGAAATCAGTTTTCTTCCCAAACTTGGCTTTTCAAAATCTTGTTTGTTTATGAGTTTAAAATTTTTTTAAGAGATCGTTGCTCATACTGAAGGAAGCATTAATATTCTGCCCAAACTTTCAGTATTATCATTAATTCAAAATAAGAAGAGTCAAAATTAATGAGGTTTTACTGTATTTTTGACAGTGTTAAACACCCATAGATAGAAATGAATAAACAGAGAGAGAAAAATAAAATTTGAAACTACGTAGATTTACTACCAAAAAAGATTAATAAAACGTGATGAGGTAAGGCATTTGTGGAAACCCCACCTACATTTTCAAATTGTGCTGGGCAGAATGATAACCCATAAAATATATAATTATCCCATTTGTATCTTATTGCATGTAATTATATTTAATTAATATTAGTGACATGAAGTTAAACAATAAGGTTAAAAAATACTACTTTAATAACGCAGAGCGCTCTCAATTACTGTTCTGTTAGAGTACCCTCTAGTGACAAGGACAGGTTACTACAAGCTAATCAAAACAAATCGCCTAATTGCAAGCAGTAAAGCTGCTGTTAGTCAAAGTGCAAACACTCATGAGAATTTTCCAACAGCAAAGCATTCTGTAGAAAGAGTTGTGTAGGTGCTGGTCCTTGGCTGCTTGCAACCACTTTTCTGATGCGGTTGACGACACATGACAAACTCAGCTATATGGAAACAGAATCTAGGTTTCTATTTTTTATGTTCCTCAAAGGCATTAAATAATAAAACCAAAACCAACAAATACATATATATATATAATAAATATGAAACATCCTGCATAGTCTTTTAAGAATAACCACTGTAATTACAGTTTGTGTTGCCCATACCAGACATTCTGTTCTTATAGTAGCTGCTTTTATATAAAGCAAGTGTAAGAATGGGAAAATCCAGAAAGGGAAAATCAAGGGAAGGATGACACTTATCCCGTAGCGATGACATCGTTAGCTCCTCAGAGAGGCGTAGGCTTGTGTGCTTTGAATAACGACTGCTCCTTAGCCACCAGAGTTTCTAAAGGAAATGTACAGTTGTTTCTTTCCTCCTCCAATTAACGCAAGGTGTGGAATCCAGCCAACGTCTGGCAGTTATCTTTTTATGCCCAAGCAAATAAAATTTAAAAACAAACCAAAAACCATTAAGATAAGATAAGAATAATTTTAACTTGCTTTCCATGTGACTGCTGCAATTCTGAAGGATTCTGTTGGCCTTTGTGGGATATTAGATTTTGGAGGTCCAAGATGTCTGCGCCTAGCTGAACTTGCACTGTACCCCATTGTGACGGAGCACTTTTACATTTTGCTGAAAATAATGATATGTTCTTTCACAGATGGGGAGAAAGTTGCAGCCAGTCTAAGCCAAACATCTTTGACATTTAACAACTCTTTACTTCACTTAGATTTGTCACCATGTAGCTTTGTTTGAATTGGCCATTTTTAAAACCTTCTCTTGTTGTTTCCAGTGTTAAACTTTTATAACAATACATCTGGGCTTTAAAAATATGTAAAGAATAATGATATGGAGTGGCCATATTTGCATGTGTCTGTCCCCGGAAGGGTGGACTGTAATTTTATTGGATGTCTGCAGCTATTACCTTGAAGGATGAATTTTCATTTTTCATCTATTCTTCCCCATCTAGATTGTATCAGGATTAACTGTAATTCCAGTAAGTGCCTATTCAAAATTTTTAAAATGTTATTCCTCCATTATGATGTAAGCTAGTCAAGATAAAAAGAGATAGAAAGAGAGCAAGAGAAATGTGTTTATAAAACTCATGAACTCACTTTTGAAGTATACCAGTCCATCATCTGGGTTGTAAAAATTCATTTTTAAATTTCTACATCTAAAGACGTTCCCACTGCAGTTCCTACCTCTATGTGGAAAAAGAGGTGACAAGCATTTTGTAGTAGAATGTGCCAGTACCTTATAGACCTGTAGATACTGCAAGTGGCATTTGTGGACTCCGGTTGTTCTCTTTATAACCAAATAGGAGAAAATATTGTGGATCTTATTTTCTTCTGTCTTTATCTTTTAACTCAAGTACAAAAAATGGTTAATTCCTCTGACTTCAAGAGTTATTATTAAATCCATCTAAGAAGTTTTTTATAGACATAGAAAATTACTTGTCTAAAATGTTCTTCCTTGATCATTAAGAATGTTTATATGATGAATTTTTACATCCTAATCATATCTCTGCAAAAATAACCAAAACCCTTCAAATTTGTGACATGCATGTGAACTGATGAGTCTGGAAAGATGTATGGACTGAGTTTTCTTTGAATTTGGACAACAGATCTGAAAGGATATAAGGACTGTGATTTTATTTTGAGTTGTAGCATTATCTTAAGAGTAAACTTATTTATTTCTTTACATAAATGCTCAGGTTTTTCCTTTCCAGGTTTTGCTGATCACATTAGGAAACCTCCAATGATCACAACACAAAGTCATTAGCAATTTAAATAAAATGGTTCTAACAAACATCTAATCTCTTCTTGTCACAGTAAAGAACTTTTTTAAAATTTTCTTGGAACAATGCTGAATGTGAGTTGATGGAATCTACTCCCCAAAACATTGGCAGTGTTTTCAAGTGGCAATAAGGTATCCTCTGAGACCACACAGAGGTCTTAAACTTGCAAAAACAAAACCATTTTCCTAGTAAAATACATACTTTTTCAAACACTGTGCCTCTTACAAGTCATAACTGTATCCATATATTTTTAATATTCTTTTAAAAATAGCATTAAAATGAGTTTGTTCAATCACACCAATAAAAATGTAGCAGAATCATGACTTATTAAAAAATAAGTTAATAAATTATAACCAATATGTCAGGCATTTAAAAACATCTCACACAAAATAGGTCCTAAAAATAGCCTGTCAAAGCTCTCACATAAGTGGAATTTTTCAAATATGTGTCATCACTTCTGTAACTCTATTACTTCCATGCATTCCTAAAAGAAATACACATTTTGCACATCTAATACCAGGTCTAGTTTGCTTTCAGCTCTGGGGCATAGATGCAGGCAAAATGGCAACTCACAACATATTCTCTGCCAAAGCCAGATCTGTGCCTCACAGCAGCTGTAGGATTTCCTGATGCCTCTTGTATCTTAGGAAATCCATGTGGGGACAATATTCCTTTCTAGACCTCTATCTTAGGTACTCATTTTATTTTATTTATATGGAGCATGCAACAAAACATGAATTTTTAAATTTATAACATGTATCTATGTAAACTATAGCAGTTAATGAAAATTATTCAAATAACATGATTCTGTATTCTGTGGCTATAGCAGTGAGTTTTTAAATGTATGTTTATAGTATAATTACTGCTGTTAGACTCATTTGCCATTTGGCTTATATCATGAGACTCTAGTATTGAGGATAGTCTTATTTTTCCTCTGGATATTCCACAGAATAATACCTTTGAGGACAAAGGTTTTTGCTGCTTAGTGAATTGTTTTCCCTTTTTAAAGAGTATGTGATACTTGAATTAAATTAATGACCGTGAACTTCCAGTGTACACATTGGACAGGACTGCACATGCCTTAACTTGACAGCAGTCACTGGAAGGAACATTACATGAACAGGTAACATTTTCATTTCCTTTGTCTCTGTTTTATTTGGGGCATAGGGAGCAGGTGTAGTGAGAAACTGAAGTTCCATAAAAAAGACTCACCTTTGAGGAAAAGGAGAACTTTACATACCAGCTAATGCAAACCTAACTCACAGTGATTAAATGAGCAGCGATTTCTACTTGAAGTGCATTCTGTACTCAATAAAAACTAAATTAACAATATCTGTACCTCGGCGTAACTTGCAGTTTAATGAAAGACTGATTTATTACATGTGTCCTCCATGAGCCATAGAGTTGTCTGAAACTAAGAAAATTAATGTACATTTATTAAATTACAGCTGATAACACCACTATCTCTAAAAATTGTACCATAACTATGATATCAACTGTATTGTGAAATTAATATGAAATATCTCAATTGATATCTTTTAAGAAAATCATCACAAGTAATATACAAAGTAAAACATAAAAGATTATCTTACCTTAAAACTAATATTAAACTCTAAGTTATTAAGTTTGAATGGAAACTTCCCCAGAAGCACTTTTCTACATTTACTTAAAATTGTGCTGTTGCTTCCTGTAGTCATTTTCGCTTTCCCCACCCCACCACCAAGTTGACAGCATCTAAACTTTTATGGGAAATATATACAGTGTCAGACTACCCAATCTTTGCTAGTGAAGAATGGGTGGTAGGTGAAGAGGGCAGAGGCTCTGGCTACATGTATTCAAACCTGCAGGACTGTAAGAGATGGCAGGTATGTTTCTTTTTCAGCCACTCCTGTGCCAGTACTTTAGATGCAGTGACAGAGTCTTCCATGGACAGTGTAGGGAGCAGCCCAGTCTTAAAATTTCCTCTGAGAAAGGGCTGATCGGAATTCCAAGCATTATCTCTGTGAGACTCCTTATTGCTGCCATTTTCCCCTTGGGAGGAAAAGCTGTCAAGCATTTTTCTATGTAAAAAAAGAGCCTCTTTTCATTTAAAAATAAAAAAAGCTTATTTTCAGATATAGATAGGGTACTTTCTCTAAAAAACTATCTCTGTGAATAAAGGTCATTTCAGTGCCAAATATATGTTCTGATCTTTCAGATTACAAACAGAATGTGACTGCACACAATCCCAGACTAATCCTGGTTTATTGATACTCATTAGCTTATATCATTGCTAAAGTACATTCATTTGCAATTTGGGATTAGATTAAGTTCAGTGTTTCCAAATTCATGGGCTGCAAGGTCAGCACAGAAATGAATTATCCATGGCTCACCACTCTCTTCTGTCCAGGCTAGGAACAAAAGGACAGTCAGATTACCCTTGCCTCCTCCATCATGATTCGATAATTTTATATGGAAGTTACTAAAAGAGACACCATCATTTAATGCAGATAATTTCTTTCTTAGACAGTGAAGGATACTTTAATAAAGGTAGATGGAAAGGGACTATAAAGTCACATTCTTTTAACATAAAAAAGAAAAACTATCCGAATTAATGAAGGAACACAAATTGTAGACTATTTAAAAAATCATCAAAAAATCATCAAAAAATCTGTACTAACAAAAACTAAATATTAACAAATTATTGCCGAAACCTTAAATCATATTGAACAAGGTGCTTTTGTGACTAGCACATGAATTATTTGTATGAGAAAATGAGTGTTTTACAGTCTCTTGCCTGGTCCACAGTATTAAAAGTCATTAAAAATGATAAAGAATGCAGAAAGAATTTTCTGTTGCTTGTGAAATTTTCTCAAGTGCATTATTAATAGGTTCTGTACAGGGCATTAGTCTCATTCTGCATTCTTTATATCTGCCAAAGCACATAGCCTAATGTCAATCTCAGAGTTACAGTAAAGGTCTGAATTTCAAGTTTAGTGCCCAATATTTCCAAACAATACATCCAAACTCATTAGGCTATGTGTTTCTACTTAATCTTTTGTGAAAATTTGGCTTTTTTTTTTTTTTTTTTTTTTGACTTTTTTTTTTTTTTTTTTTTTTTTTTTTTTTTTTTTATACTGCATGATTGAGTAGTGCTTTTTTTTTTCTTTCTCTATCTCTGGTAACCTTAAAAATTGATAGTGCTATAATCTTTTGAGGTTTAAATCCATTAAAAGTTTGAAAACTAAATTTGCTCCTTTCAATTATAGGTAAGTCCTAACTGTCATATTAGCAACTACTTTAAATATGTGGTGGATCCAGGGAGGCTTTTGTGTTTCTTGGTTTTGTTATTGTTTTCTATTCTTTTTGTTTTTCCAAATCAATGGTGTAATTGTAGAATGACCTTCTTGTCCACTGGAAGGCTTAGGGACACTTCATTTGTTTGTTTGTTTGTTTGTTTATTGAGATGGAGATGGGCCCTGTCATCTAGTCTGGAGTGCAGTGGCACAAATCTCAGCTCACTGCAACATCTGCTTCCCAGATTCAAGCAATTCTCCTACCTCAGCCTCCCAAGTAGCTGGAACTACAGGCATGCACCACTATGTCCAGCTAATCTTTGTATTTTTTGTAGAGATGGGGTTTTGCTGTGTTGGCCAGGCTGGTCTTGAACTCTTGACCTCTGGTGATCTGCTGGCCTTGGCCTCTCAAAGTGCTAGGATTACAGGCATGAGCCACCACACCCAGCCTCAGGGACACTTCCACATCCATATGAAAATAGATTTAATTAACTCATGATCTCTGGGGCTTCTTTTGTTTGCATTATTTGGTTTTCTTTATGCCTTATTACATTTGTCTCTTCTCCCACCCATCTGCACTTCCTTTCTTTCTACTAAGATTCACTCTTCTTACTTCCCCATTTCCCGTGTTGTTTGTTGTTTCGACCATTATCTTTTCTCTTGTCATCTTACAAGATTAAAACTCTTGGGGCTAAAAAAATATTTAAGCAGACCTTCCAACTACTTTGGCTTCTCATAGATAATGGTTTATTTAAGAGGCAAAGACAACAGTATTATAGATAACATTAGTGTGAACAAATTATCAAGGGCCGAAGTTCAATTTCTATTTGCAGTCCAGTGCCCAAGTATTGGATAGAAGGGACATCTAAGGACAAGTACTTAACCTCACTTTGGACTTGGGTATAGGAAAGAAACACTTCACAT